AGGTTTAGGGTTTAGGGTTTAGGGTTTAGGGTTCGGGGCTTAGGGCCTAGGGTTCTTACCCGCCTTCGTACAACACTTGGAAAACATCAAACTCAATTTCAACCTGACTATGGGCCCCTTCGAAAGAAGCATCTGACTAAGACGAGCAACGAACTTGAGGAAAAAAAAGGACGAGGCCCGTTTTCGGGCTAAAAGCTGTTGGGAGGTGCAAGCTTGAACGCTCAGGCCCTCGGGCTTGCAGCAGCTTGCTGGGGGCGGGGGATAGGGTTTAGGGCTTAGGGAACCCTAAACCCTAAACCCTAAACCCTAAACCATAAACCCTAAACCCTAAACCCTAAACCCTAAACCCGGGCGAAGCAGTATTCACCCCAAAACCCTAAAACATCGCACGCACAGGTCCCAGCCTGAGGAGACGTCCAGCGCTGAGTTGGCCCGAGGCATCATTGCGCCGAAGGGGTTGGCGCCCCCCTGGGCTGATGACGGGGCGTGGGTTTAGGGTTTAGGGTTTAGGGTTTAGGGTTTAGGGTTTAGGGTTTAGGGTTTAGGGTTTAGGGTTTAGGGTTTAGGGTTTAGGGTTTAGGGTTTAGGGTTTAGGGTTTAGGGTTTAGGGTTTAGGGTTTAGGGTTTAGGGTTTAGGGTTTAGGGTTTAGGGTTTAGGGTTTAGGGTTTAGGGTTTAGGGTTTAGGGTTAGGGTTTAGGGTTTTGGGTTTTGGGGCTTGGGTATAATCTAGGAACAAAACAAAAGGGTGCCCTTTTTGGTTTTAAAGGGGCTGTTAAGGGAACCTGGCCCCTGAAAAATGGGAATAAGGGCCGACTCTGGGTCCTAGGTATAAGCCACAAAAGAACCTGGGGTTTGGGGTTTAGGGTTTAGGGTTTAGGGATTAGGGTTTAGGGTTTAGGGTTTAAGGTTTGGGGCTTTGAGCATCTGACAGGAGTGCTTACTTGAAGGCGCAGGGGACGTAGAACCCAGGTCTAAGAGCCCCCAAGCTGGGCCGCTATGCCAGGCATCAGCCCTTTTCCCTACAACCTGAACACATGTGGGGGTTTACGAAAATCAGTGCCCCTAATATAGACCCCCCAAGAGTAGGATCCCCTTATAATACGGACCCCAAGAAGGTACCCCTAATTTCGGATACCCGCATGTGCTAAGTTCGCTGCAACTTTGCGTGTGCTTTGAAATGGGCCACAAAAGCGCCACCCCAGGGTTGAGGGTTTAGGGCTTAGGTTGCAGGGTTTAGGGCTTCGGGTTTAGGGCTTAGGGTGTAGGGTTTAGGGCTTAGGGTTTAGGGCTCAGGGTTTGGGGCTTAGGGTTGTGTGCTTTGGCGCCCCTTCCCCCCCCCCCCCCTTGGAGGGGCCTCTGCCGAGGATGAGAGACGTGCCTCCAGCTCAGCCAACTCATGCAGGTGTTGCAGGACGATCCTTCCATGCGATGTTTTGGGTTCAGGATTTCGGGTTTCGGGGGTTTAGGGAAGAAGAGCTCTGCTACAACCCGGAAGCCATAAAAGGCCCCAAGTCCGAAACCCCTAGACCTAGACCCTTAACCTTACGTAAACCCTTTTTTGGGATCATAGTGTAGAGACGCCCGGCCTAATGCGCTTTGCCTAAACCCTAAACGCCTTGATGGGCTACGAGGGATACAACTGCGGGGTTTTACTGCAAAGGGGGGGGGGGGAAGGCTGGTGGCGGCCCTGTGCACTTGAAGCACGGCATGTGCGGTTCGAGGATAACGAGGAACCTACACCCAAAAACCCCAAACCCTTCAAGAATAACATAGAAACCTAAACCACTAACCCCTCCGACCAGATCCTCACACCTAAACCCCTAAAACCCTAAAAGCCCTAAACCCCAAACCCAAAACCCCTGACACCCTAAGAGAACCCTTGGAACCTCCAGAACTCCCTAGAAACCGCATGCCTCAATCCGAACTGCTGGGACTGTCCATTGCTCAACCCTAAACCCTAAACCCAAAACCCTAAACCCTAAACCCTAAATCCTAAACCCTAAACCCTAAATCCTAAACCCTTAGCCCTCCAAAGACACTAGGTCCCAGTCTCCCATCCACAAGGCCGCGGAAGTGCTCGGAGATGCCACATCTGAGGGGCTTTGCAGGTTTGGGGTTTAGGGTTTAGGCTTTAGGGTTTCGGGTTTAGGGTTTCGGATTTAGGGTTAGGGCTCAGGGTGTCTCGAGGCGTGTGCTGGTGCTGCCTGCGCCCGGGCGCACCCAAAGAAGCCATTTCAGCAAGCGCATCCAGGGCGTCGCACAGAACTCCCAACCCTAAACCCTAAACACTAGACCCCAAGTCCATGGTGTTCTTGTTTTGCTGAGTGGTCCTACTGGTTCTTAGTAGGGAACCAGGGGTTTAGGGTTTAGGGTTTAAGGCCAGGGTGTTGGGTTTAGGGTTTTGGGTTTAGGGTTTAGGGTTTAAGGTTT